CCCCCATAGATGTAGTTAAAGTCTTTGGTGAAAGGACCATGAAAAGAGAAGGGATTAAGAAAATTAGTACTGAGTTTTCTAAATTGCACGTTAGGTGCTTCAGTAACAATGGGTGGGATCTGTGTGTAGGTAGAAAATTTGAAGGGACACCAGAAATGAGGACCCTTTAACATTTGTTAGAGACACAAACTCAAAGAAGTAAGGTGACATTCCCAAAACTTCAAAGCTAAAAGCTAGTGACTTCAGACTCCTCACTGTCTTCTCTGCTTTTGCAAGCCTAAAGAGAGAACACTTGTCTCCACTACAGCTAGGTACAGTACACTACAAAGTGAGGCCTTACACTTAAAATGCTGTTTTCTATGGAAAACTTTATAAATGTGATTAGGGATAATACAAATATTTGGGTACATTATGAGTTAAGTAAACTATGCAGTGGTGATTCCGTTTAACCATATTATGAATTGTAGGTATGTGTTTGAATTAAATTTAAGATATTTGACTTATTTGGGAATAGAATATACTTTTCATTTTAACTGTTAAATATTCCAACATTAGACTTCCCAGAATGGAGCCCTAGTAATACTGTCAAGTAAGCTTTGGGCTGATAACTAAAAGGCTGGTGGTTCCCACCAACCACTCCCCAGGAGAAAGATGAGGATGTCTGCTCCTGTGAAGATTTACAGCCTCAAAAATCCTATATAAGATCACAGTCCATCGATCTATTCAGTGGTACCATGTTGGTTTGTTTTTTTGATTCACGAAATAGGAACACTGATTGCACAGATCGTGTGCTCAACTGCTGAATGAAAAGGTTGATGGTGCCCGCGTCATGTGTGGGACCTGGGGCAGCCCACGGGCCACCTGGGGCCTGGGGCAGCCCACCGGGGCGGGGAAACTGCAGCCTGAGGGCGAGCGGAGGGGAGGGGCCTACTTGGCCTCCCGCCTGAGTGCAAGGACTGGGGCCCCAGCACCGCTGTGATGGCCCAGCAGCAGATGACCAGCTCGCAGAAGGCCCTGATGCGCGAGCTGAAATCCCTGCAGGAGGAGCCGGTGGAGGGCTTCCGGATCACCCTGGTAGATGAGTCCAACCTCCACAACTGGGCAGTGGCTATCTTCAGAACCAACCCCCAATACCCTCTACGAGGGCAGCTACTTCAAGGTTCATAGTAAATTTCCTATAGACTACCCATACTCACCACCTGCCTTCAGATTCTTGACCAAAATGTGGCACCCCAACATTTATGAGAATGGAGATGTATGCATTTCAGTTCTTCATCCACCTGTAGATGACCCACAGAGCAGAGAGCTTCCTCTGAAAGGTGGAATCCTACTCAGAATGTCAGTACTATCCTTTTAAGTGTAATCTCACTGCTTAATGAGCCCAACACCTTATCCCCAGCCAATGTGGATGCTTCAGCTATGTTCAGGAAATGGAGGGACAGTAAAGGAAAAGACAAAGTATGCTGAAATCATTAGGCAACAGGTTTCAGCCACCAAGGCAGAAGCAGAAAAGGATGGAGTGAAGGTCTCCACAACCTTGGCGGAACACTGCATCAAAACTAAAGTGCCTTCCAATGACAACAGCTCAGATTTGCTTTATGACAACATCGATGATGAGGACAAGGAGGAAGAAGATGCCGACTGTTATGATGACGATTCTGGGAATGAGGAATCGTGACACATTCCTTTGAAGCCCCTGTACTGCCCTGCTGTCTCAGGCCAAAGGGAGGGGAGCATGTGGGGACCTAGCAGTGGCCCCACAGCAAAAATCTATTGGGGGGGGACATGGCTCCAGCTAGCTCCCCTTAAGGATCTCAGTTTGCTCCTTTTTATGGACCTCTTATTGGAGAAAAAGTAACCCTTCACAGAATGTCTGAAGACTTGCATTCTTTACCCTCCATCACTGTATTGATTCTTTAAAAAAAAAAATTTTTTTGACCCAAATTTCCGCCTCACTTCGTCTCTACAAAGTGTTCACAGCAAAACATGTTTGGTCTGTTTTTAGATTCTTGAATTAAATAGTCTTTCATCAAGACGTTTGATGTATTTAAAGCTGGGAACCCATTGGGAGTTCACAAGTGCTGCATATACTGGGTAGGAAAGGGGAGAGAAAAAGCCACAAAACAAAACTTAGTGAGGAAAAAAAACCTGCCAGCGTTTATTAGCTGCTCATTCACAGCATTAGTGTGTATGCATTCGTTTAGTGCGTGGTGGCTAGTTTCCTTTCTGCTCCATTAGCCCTGGAGTGCACTGGAATTCAGGGACTTTGTTAAACCTGCGGCCCCAAGCTTGTCTCAGCCTCCCTGACATCGCCTGAACACAGGGGCCTCAGCTACTTTGAGAGAAATCAATTTGTTGTTGGAATTAATTTAAAGCCTAAAAATAAATATTCATACTTTACAGAGGGAAAAAAAAGTTGGTGGCTTAAACCCACCAGCCAGTTTCGATCGATATGGACAGTCATCACAAGGGGTATTTGTGAACAGATTTTCTTTCAAATTTTAATGAAATTGTTTGTTTTTATTTCAGATGGTCAATTTACTCCTGTCTAGAGGTGCCAATATTAATGCTTTTGACAAGAAAGATAGACGTGCTATCCACTGGGCAGCATATATGGGTACGTGCTGTTCAATTTATTGCTTGACGTGTTCCGGAAAAGTTATGCATATGAATTCTTGCTGTTAACATAATACCTGTCTTTTTGGCTAGCGAGGAAAAGTTATACTACATCTGAGTGTGCTACCTAGTTGGAGCAGGTTCCACACAGAAAAGCATTGGTCCAGTTCATCAAAAAGCTTCTGCAAGTACTGTATATACTCGTGTATAAGCCGAGTTTTTCAGCACATTTTTAATGGTTTTTGTGGTAAAATTAGGTGCCTTGGCTGATATTCAGGTCGGCTTATACTCGAGTATATCCGGTGTACTCGAGTATGTACAGTAAATTAGATTTGCCTTGAAGGGGAAGAAATATCTAAGACACAATCCTAGGATACATAATGTAGGATTGCTCTTCAGTAAAAGCCCATGGTATTTTTATGGAAATATTAAGGCTGAAACTATGGAGGTGCATTAAGCATCCTATTTTGGTGGGCACCACACTAGATTAAATATGCATCATCATATTTGGTTTCTACAACTGTAATTTCACAGAAAGAACCTAAAGTTTAAGGTTCAGGCTTTTCTGTTGTAACATGATAATGTGCTCTTGAAATTCTTATATGATCTGCAAAATTACACTACAAAAATAGTAGTAGTACTCATGAAGAAAGTAGACCTGGGTAGACAACCCAAACCTATCCAGCTTGACCCGGAGTACTAACAAAAATATTAATTGGTTCTTGAGTTAATTTGGATAGCCAGGGAAGTATCTTACCTCAGCATAATGAAAGGCACGAAAACAATAGAGTAGATATGCTGGTTTGTGAGTAGTAAGGCCATGCAGCTAGAAGTAGACCTCTACCCATGGAGGAAGTAGAACCTACTATAAGCCTCAGAAATCCTGCAAGGCTAGGGTGTTACCTCTCAGTATGGACACTGTGGATGCAGTTTCTTAAAATAGAGCTGAAAGAATTCTTCCCTTTGAAAAGTTGAGAGGACTTTTCATCTTCTTGTGAAAGGTTACATTTCAGCTCTGCTATTCGAGCTCTGCTATTCTATCAACTGACATAGACATATTGTGTGTATCATTTTCTGATTTACCATTTGTACTACCTAATTACAGGAAATCTTAACTAGAATTGCTCTTTCAAGGATAAGCGTAGTAGATACTCCACCTCTCTTGGTTTCGTTTTTTCCAAGTCTCTTACTTGAAAACAAAAGATAAGTAAGATTTAGTAGAAGATCATTAATTCTAAAACTTTTTAAAATGTTAAAATAGAAAGGTTTAAGAAAGCAAATGAACAAGTTACAGATACTCACAAAAGACCAGGAAAACCGTTTGCGTATAGTAGAAGTAACTATGAGCAGTAGAATCCATCTTGAATGACAAGTTTGGCCTTTAATGTGAGGTAGAAAGAAAGATCCAAAGGTTCCTGAAGATTAACATGTTTGTCTATGACTCCATTTTGATAGCCAACGGTCATTGTCTTTTTGTGACATCATGTGCAACTTTGTTAATTATAGGTAAAACAGTTGGAAGCCAGTCTGTAGGGTTTCTAAAGCCCTCCCCTCTCCACAACCTGTAGAGTTTTACACTTTTGTCATAAGTAGTTTTGAAAATACCTTATTGTCTCTTAACTCTTCAAAATAGTTTAGCAACAGCTAGCCAGACTGATTTAAAGTTGTTCAGCTCATATTAAAGACTTTACATGTTTAGTGGAGCCTTATTCTTTTAGCTCCAAAAACTTAGGCTTGACTGAGTAACATCATGGAATTGAAAATCGGGGATTTTACAAATTTCCTTTAGCTGAGCTCAGAGCATATCTAGGTATTTGTATCTCAGGAACTGTAGATGGCTTTGTGTCCCTAATTTACTAATTGTCACTTTTCAGGTGTTCCATTTTGAAGGGAAAAAGATATCCCCAAAACCATGGGGCCTCAAACATTCACAGATTCATACTTCTGCTTCTCTTATCTTTGCTTTCTTTCAGCATATATCAGTCAAGAAAAAATTTGATACTCCGCTTCTAACACTGTTCAGCTAGTCTTGGTATTCAGGGGCACCAAATGTATATGTAGAGAGCTCTAATTACGTCCAAGAGGCATTAATGACCTCGTGTAGTCTTCTAATTTCATTTTCCCAGGTTTGTTTTTTACTCTTGACCTTCTCCACCCCATTGTGGTTCCCTTAGTTTTCTGTGTTAAGCCTACCCCCCAAATAAATGGATTGTTTCCTCCTCCCCACCCTGTAAGTCTTTTTACCTTCATCAAGATCCATATATATTTTAACTTTTATTTCTGTTGCTATCAGCACTCTTAGCAGTATCTAGCCAAACTCTACCTAAAACTTTCTTACCATGATGACTTCACATAGAAGATACTGGATAAATATTAACTATCTTGATTAACCCTATAACACCTGAATTTTTAATTTCAGGGAAAAAATTTTTTTTATTCTTTCATAGTTATCAACATACATAATCCAAGATATATTAAAATATATATATATAATTTGCAATGTGTTTTAAATGTAACCAAATCGTCACATTCGTCCATAGATTTGTAATACAAGAATAAAAAATGCACCTTCAGTTCTATATTTTTAATCTTATTTTATTATTAAATAAACAGACTGAAAACTTACTTCATTTATAAAATATAATACAAAATGTACTTGTTTATAATTTTAGTGTGAAATTGAACAAAACAATTTTTTTCTTTTGTGATACAAAGATGAACTTTGCATTTGCTGCAGAAAAGTACTGTTGCACTCTTGCAATTTACATTTTTACGTCTTCCTCTGTTTGTGACCTCAGGGTAATGGTGAAGACCATCCAAACAGGTATCTCTTCCAGGGATACTTTTAATGGCAGAACCGCTTCTCTTTTTGTTAGCAAACTCAACATCAGTAAAGCTAGTAGAAGGTCTGCCTCTTTTTGTTGGTCTATTACTTTTTCCTTCAAGAAGAAGAGCTTCGGTGATGCTCATTTTGAACTCTTGTAGGCTTTTGGAATTTGTGGATTATTGAAGTGAATCTTGGACTTTATATCTTCCCATCTATCGCTACTTACCACTTCCAATACAATAGGACAGTTTAGTTTGCTTTTTCAATATAAGTGTGAATTTGAGAGCTTCACCATCGACATAGCAAGCAGTGTACCCAAAAATTGCTCAAGTTCCTGGTTACTCAGTGCAAGAGGTTCATTGGGATTTTGTTGGATTGCATAAAGATTTGAGTGGTCGACAATATGAATAATGATATCCTTTGAGAAAAAATGTCTAAAATATACAAGACATTTTACTACCCCAGAAGAATCTATTAGTCCTAACCATTCAGACATAGGTCTAGCTATACCGTCTCCAGAAATGTGCCGCCAAAGAGGAATTCTTCGATTTCTTAATGTAGATGCCTTTGAACTTGTAGTTATTGGAATTGATAATTCAACCTCAACAACTGAAGTTTCTAACTCATCTTCACTAGCATTATCATTACTAAGTATGAGATCTTCTAATTCATCCAAATCAGAATAATCGGGCATATATTCACTTCCTACCATGGGAAAAAATAAATATTGTTATCAAAATAGTTTGAATAGCAATATAATTAAATTTTTATATTGTAAAATCAAAAATTTTAAATATAATACACCTTTTATTTACCAATTTCACCCGTATTAGCATCTGGTTCCTTGTATGAGCCTGTACCGCTTCCAGCTAGGTCATAAATTTGCCGTTTTCCATAAAGCAAATAACAATCCATGCCGTGGTAATTTTTGTTACCATCAATTCAAAAGAC